TTCGTGTACCCTTACCATCTGTTCAGGCCATCAGTATTGCAACGTTTGCTCCTCGTCGCCCTCATTACCCTCCTTTCTCGCCAGCCAATTATGCACCACTTGATGGTTGTTCGTCGAATCTGGCCAAAGTAGAAAAACTCACAGATGTCCGTGTCCTAGATGGCTTCCTTTTCAGATCCACTCCAACTAACGACTTCAATATAGCCATTTTGGGCTCTGGTTTGTTGGTCAACCCCACTAGCCCCACACCCCTGCAAAGTTGAGTTCACGTCTGACCTGGGGAATCATTATGTTGACCTTCCTCTTTTATCTATTATACATCTGGCACGGCCGAGAAGAAGTGCACTTATGAAAAGGATAAAAATATGGAAATAGTAGTGACCCGGGGGGTGGAACATTCTTGCTGACTCTCATCATTCCATTCACTTTTCAGTCTTACTATCGAGGAAAGGCATAGAATTTGTCAAAAATGGCTTGGAGATAAGCTCGCATGACAAACTCACCGAGAGGTTGGCTCCTGTCTATAATAACCACACTATTTTCCATAAATCTTTTAGTCGAATCTTCAGAATCGCAAACGATTTTATAATGAATGTCAACCTTGGGATATGGAGTACATATATATGGAATAATTTAAGAAAAATAAACAATATAGAGAAATACGTGAGCATGCTTAATTTTGACTATTAAGGATAGTATATTTAACATGATAAATGGAGCAATTATCATTCGTCGGAAGAGTGCGTTTAGATAAATAATATGGTTAGAACAGCAATCAGGAGTAAAATGGCTATTGAGATTAATGGGTGTGATTAATTAAACAGTCTGGCCAATAAGATTTGTACTACTCATTAGAATGGTAGTAGTATAATTAATGATTATGTCATAATATAAATTGTATGGATTGTTAAAAAGTACAGAAACTCGAGGGCTCTGTCCTCTTCCTTGACAAAAGTCAATAATGCACGTCTTATGAAACAGGATCTTATCTAAACGCACTTCAGGCCGAGGAGGATAATAAAGAGCTTCTCCATATGACTGAGTTATCCATCATTTATTTTAAGGTCAATAGGAACGCCGATGTGAGTTTCAGGATAACAGCTTATGATTGCTTCTTTATGATTCATATACAGTTTATTTGTATGTGCCTCTGTTTATTTTAATTATATAAACTTTGCCTAGGGCTGAATCATCCTTACTGATGACTTAGCATGACGATATGCAAGTTTAATTTTTACGCAATCACGGCTGCATTCAAGAAAAATGGAAGACGCATTATCACACTGTGGCTATTGAAAAAATCTTCCAGCTTCATCTTGATCCATTGACAGTTAGAGTAAGCATTTAGAGAAGACCTATGCCGACTATATTGCCTGTCCAACCAACATTTGTCTTGAGCATGAG